AATAACTCAATTTCAGACTGGTCCTCACACAAGTTCTTTTTAACTTGACATAGATTTTGTATAGAAAAGAGATGCATTAATGTTTTTTTTATGTTTTTTTTTTGTGTGTATGTGCTCCTTTCAGCTCTTTTCTATAAAATCATATAGAATTCATGTGAAAATAGCTGGATAGCATGCAGTTGCCCAACAGTAAATCAATATTATAATTTCTAATATTTGTCAATTTAAATAATTGAAAATGTATGTATTTATGTAATTTACTGTAACTATTACTACTAATAAAAGAATAGTCACTTGTTATTATTGTTATTAATACTATTGTAAATGAATACTATTGTTCGTTATGGAATTACTGAATGTCAATGTATGAATATATAATGAATGATACGAAAAGATCAGAAGAGTATGCGTTGCCCAAGAGTAAATCAATATTAATTTCTAATTTAATTCAATATTTGTTAATTGAAATATTGTAATTGTATTAGTTCTAATTATCAGAATCAGAATCAGAATGAGCTTTATTGCCAGGTATGTTTACACATAGACTACCCTCTGTAGTCTTCAGAGGTCAGATTTGGTAGTTGAGTTGAACCAGACAGTTACAGAAGTGCAGAGGATGGATTCAATGATGGTGGAGTAGAACTGTTTCCGCGAAAGCAAATGTATTATAGTATTATACTATACAAATTATATAGTATTATACTATATACTGTTACTACTACTACTACTACTAAGAAGTTAGTTATTAATATTATTATTATTAACTTTAAGTATATAAAATACATAATATTATATAATGCAATTTATTATATATAATATTAACTCAATCAATCTGGTCCTCATACAAGTTGTATGTGCTTATGGTGCTTTTACAGTTTTTAGTCTTTTTATAACAAAAAAAATTACTTGAATACTCTTGATATTTATTTTGTGTGTGTGTGGGAGCTACTTGTATAAATAGCATACTTTTTTGGAATTTCCTGGTGATCCGTTAATAATGATATAATATTAATACATTGTGAATTATTCCACTAAAATGGCTTTTGTTCTCCAGATCGTTCTGACAGATTCTGCCCTTTGTCTCTCTCTCACACATACAGTTTGAGCTCGACATCGAGCCACGTCTGAATCCGTCGATGAGTGGCGGTGTTCCTGGCTCCAGCCTGAATGAATCCCAGGATCTGTCCTTCAGCCAGGCCCCTTCTAAAGGTATGCAGCCACTGAGGGAGACTGTCTCCGAGATTGAGATGCTAACTCGAGCAGGTAAACATCTCAAATACGCCCCACTCGGTAGCCATCTGGTTCTCTCCTCCTTCTCCTCTTGCTCCTGTGTGAATTCATTCCCTCTCCTCCCTCCATCCAGTGCCGCCCTTATCACTTCCCCTGCTCAGATTTCCTTTCTGTTCCCACATTATTACCTTACCCTTCCCGGAGGCCACATGTGCTGTGTCACATGGCTTCAGAAACGATCACAGTGGCCTTTTGTAAGATAAGATGTCAGAGGGTCCTATATACTGTAATTTGTTAGTTTAGATACAAATTCACAGTTTCCAAACCTCACATCTGGATGCAAATGAGTTATTTAAAATGTGGACGATGAGCAGGGTGTAATTTGCAGGACGGTTTCGGGGTGTCAGTCCCCCAAATTAAAGCTTCAAACCCCAAAGGAAGGATCTTTTAAAAGGACATATAATAAACACATTATTTTGCATATTGAATAAAAAGAAAAATCAATGACAATATAGAGATTTGTTTTTTTTTATTATTATTATTATTATTATTCTTAATACAGAAAAACTTTAAAGTACCATTGTTGTGAAATAACAGCTTTTTAGAAAAATAGTAGAATTTCTAAATCCATTGAAAAGTTGTCAGCGTTTATCAGTGTTTGTTTGTTTATGTGTAGTGTGGCCCCAAGAAGAGTATATTGTTGAATATTCTTTGGAATATGGTTTCCTACGGCTGTCCCAGGCCACACGGCAGCGACTCAACATCCCTGTTATGGTGGTGACCCTGGGTGAGTACATCACACTCTCTAGGATATCAACAGAAAACCTGGCAAAACCCACAAAAGATAGAATATTCTATTATTGCACTGTTATATTAAAGGTGCCATAGAATGGAAAACTGTATTTACCTTGGCATAGTTGAATAATAACAATTCTGTACATGGAAATGACATACCGTGAGCCTCAAACACCATTGTTTCCTCCTCCTTATGTAAATCTCGTGCATGCAAAAGACCACTGAAAAACAGGCGAATCAGAACATAACACCGACTGTGACGTTACAGTCGGGATCACTAATAGTTACGCCCCCAACATTTGCATATACCCGCCCATGTTCTATGCCAGCCGCCAGCCGAACCTGCAATTGTATTAATGCATTCTATGGCACCTTTAAAATTGTCAGTGTTTACTGATCTTCATGCCGTTTCAATCACCTATAACTTATATAGCCTATGCCTATAACCTATGCCTTTGTATAATTAACAGACTAAAATTTAAGTTGCATGGTCTTTTTTTTTAATGCACCTGGTCCTCATTCACTAATAGAATTTAAGAGTTACAGAATATTCTAAGTCACTTTTTGTGTTGCATGGAGGAAAGTGTGGTGAATCATTAATCGTGATCACGGTTTCTGCTTCTCTCGATTTATTAAGCATAATAATTTGCGATATTCACCCGCTGGTAAATTATCCTGAAAACATTTCATTTTAATTTGGCAGTTGTGTTACATGCATTGGTAACAAGCCTCCACAAGCTTTCATGTTTGGGGTTGCCAGATATCAAACATTTAAAGCCCCCAATCAGAGTTTTTCTCTTAAATGGATACATTTAATATATATATATATATATATGCAAGTTCGGAGTTTAGCTATCTCTATTGATATATTGTGCTCAAATTGAAGTGTAATACAGCCAGCCTGTTTTCTTTCACACGTTCGTTTGCTGTGACTAAATCTGGGAGCAAACCAGGCGAGTTGACATTCTCTTGATTTGTGCTTGTGAAAGTGCTGTAATTCTCATAAAATGCAAAAATAATAATAAATTAAAAAAGAATAAAAAATGAATTGACAATTATTTTGGAGGTCTTTAAGAAGGTCATAAAGATTTTGAATGACATGGGAGCGTGTTAAAAAAATGTTTTGGCCTACAAGGCCAATAGACGTCATACCTTTTTTTTTTTTTAAAGGGAAAGCATAAAGTTGCGCTTAATCTCTCTCCGCCTGTATGCAGACCCCATGAAGGATCAGTGCTTTGGAGATGGTTTCAGTCGCTTCCTCCTGGATGAATGCCTGGGTTATGATGATATCCTGATGTCCAGTGTGAAGGCTTTAGCAGAGAACGAGGAAAACAAAGGTAAATTAGATGTTCCCTCTTAAGAACGCCGTTTCCTTGGTGATGCCGTAACTATGAAGTGAGTGTGATTTTTTTTAATTTTTAAAAAAAAATTTTTTTTTTAGGGTTTCTGAGGAACGTTGTTTCTGGAGAACACTACCGTTTTGTCAGTATGTGGATGGCTCGTACCTCCTACCTAGCAGCCTTTGTAATCATGGTTATCTTTGTAAGTACTTTCTCTACCGTAGCAGCCCTTACACAACATTGGATTATATGTGATGTCATCCCATTAGTTCAGTTTGAGCATTTAGGTAATTAGTTTACCCAGAAATGTAAATTGATAATTTAGTCATTCCCATGACTTTTATAAATGGAATAGATGGTAAACATTTTACTGCGTTCTAATTACAATGAATGTGACTAGAGCTTTCAAGCTTGAAAAACATTGTTTAAAATCAGCTGAAAGTATTCTAAATGTGGCCTATGCACTAAGTTCTGAATCTTCAAAGTCATATGATAGATTTGGGTAAGAAATGGACTGAAATTGAAGTCATCAATTACTAATGATCTTCCCCTTCAGTGAGGTGTTAAGAGCTGTGACCAAAGGTCAAGGAGTTGAATTTAAAAAGCTCTGATTTTGTAAACGTCATTCAGATGGAGCTGGATGAACTGATTCACTGAAAAGATCTGACTTAAAAGAATGATCCATTTACAAACTTGCAGTAAATAATGACTTCACCTTTGGTCTGTCTGTTTTTTTTAACTTGGTTATCATTCACTTAAATCATATTAAAAAGTGACCAGAATATTCTTCAGAAATTGAGCTTTTGAGTTTCATTAAAGAAAGAAACTCATAGAAGTGAGGAAAAGATAAGAGAACTATAATATTTGAACTATTCCTTGCTGAATCAAATGGAAACTCAGTCACTTTTTATTTTCTCTCTCAGACTCTATCCGTGTCCATGCTGCTGCGGTACTCGCACCACCAGATTTTTGTTTTTATAGGTAAGTTCCCATCAGCCTCTTTGGTCTTCATCAGTGAAAAACCATTTGTGACCCTGGACCACAAAACCAGTCATAAGGGTCAATTTTGTGAAATTGAGATTTATACACCATCTCAAAGCTGAATAAATAAGCTTTCCATTGATGTATGGTTTGTTAGGATAGGACAATATTTGGCCGAGATACAACTATTTGAAAATCTGGAATCTGAGGGTGCAAAAAAATCTAAATATTGAGAAAATCGTCTTTAAAGTTGTACAAATTAAGCTCTTAGCAATGCATTTTACTAATCAAAAATTAAGTTTTGATATATTTACAAAATATCTTTATGGAACATGATCTTTACTTAATGTCCTAATGATTTTTGGCATAAAAGAAAAATCTATAATTTTGACCCATACAATGTATTTTTGCCTATTGCTACAAATGTCCCCCAGCGACTTGAGACTGGTTTCGTGGTCCAGGGTCACATTTATTATCATGTTCCATGATCAAGTCTGTAATACAGTCAAAAGCTATTATTTTTAGACCGTTTCTAAGACTATCTCTCTGCTGTTCGGTTTTTCTCAGTGGACCTTCTCCAGATGTTGGAGATGAATATGACCATTGCCTTCCCTGCCGCCCCTCTCCTCACTGTCATCCTGGCTCTTGTGGGTAGGTACAGCTCACTGCTGGGGTTTGGAGAGATGTTCTCATTCATGTGCGTCTCCCATCAACTTCATGCCTGATCTTTTATTTTGTTGACTTCATATATCACATAAAAAATTTCTTAATATGTTTTATGAAAGTCGTGTGACTGTAAATACCCTCTTTTTGATCCTGTCTGCAGGGATGGAGGCCATCATGTCTGAGTTTTTCAATGACACAACCACTGCCTTCTACATCATCCTCATTGTTTGGTTGGCAGACCAATATGATGCTATCTGCTGCCACACAAATACGAGCAAGCGCCACTGGCTCAGGTATGTTATCAGCACAGGTAAATGCCAATGGCTCAGATGTCTTACCAGACGTTTTTACTGCGTGATAAATATAAGCAGCGCAGCATGGCACAGCGGTTTATGTAATATTTATCCAGAAATAGATAAATATTAATTCTGCTGTTTAAAACAAATAAAGAAACCGTGTAGGAGAATGGTTACTATGTGCAAACAGTGGGAAACTCGTGTAGTGTGCGCATGTTCTGAGTTGAAGCTTGTGACATAAACACACACATTAACCCGATCGCTTTATGTAGCGCTCATGTAAACACTACATTCAGATTCATCAATTGGAATGAATTCCGATTGAAACAAAAAGTTGTGCATGTAAACATGGCCAAAGTGAGCTCCTTATGTAGGGAATGGACAGAAAGGCAGCCCACTAGGTTGTTTTGGTGGTTAACGCCACATAATGCATCTAAAAGATCTCTTGTGCTGTTTTTCAGATTCTTTTATCTGTATCACTTTGCCTTCTATGCGTATCATTACCGATTTAACGGCCAGTACAGCAGTCTTGCTCTGGTCACCTCCTGGCTCTTCGTTCAGGTATCTTATTTCAGCTTTTTTTCAGTGTAGGCAGTTACATAGAATTGTCTGTAGCTCATAAGCTTATTCGTTTTTGTCTTGCGCAGCACTCAATGATCTATTTTTTCCACCACTACGAGCTTCCGGCCATCCTGCAGCAGATCCGGATCCAGGAGATGCTGCTTCAAAATCAGCAGGTGGGTCAAGGAAACCAGACTGCATTGCAGGACAATCTTAACAACAACACTAGCAGTGCTGCGCCCGCCGGCCAGGCTAACGCAGCCGCTAATGCGAACACTAATGGCCAGGACCGGCAAGCCGCTCAGGACCAACCTCAGCTTGAAGCTCACAACGGCTTGGTGGTAAATACCGGTCTGCCCGGCGAACCATCAAACTCCGACCTCGACTGGATGGCCGAGATCGCCATTGGCCCGGACGTCCTGTCAGTTCCACACTTGGGCGACTCTCTTTTAGAGCCGGGAAGGATCCAGGAACCGGCGTCGTCGGGTGCAGGGGTAACAGAGCTGGGTGCTTCGAGCACTGCAGGAGAGAACCAAGTCGGAAACATTAGCGCAGCCAGTGCTCCTGCGGGACGGGGTTGTGCTCAGGGTCTGGGTCCCCCTGGTGGTGGAGGAGGGCAGACGGAATCCGACACTTCCTCGCCAGTGACCTCACACACAGACTGCAGAGTTGCAGAAACGCTTAAAGGCGCCACGGACTGGGACGACAAGACGGAGAACAAAAGCGAGAGCTCGGACTCCCACTCTGCCCCGGCTTGAGTCGCGCACCCCCATTCTGAATGAATGAATCCACGCTCTACAGTCACCACCCCTCTCTGTAAATTATTCCAGAAGGCATCAAGAGGAGAAGCCGTGATGGAGTTTTATGTAATTACATCCAGGAAATCTCCAACTTGAACATGAGGAGTGCCGAAGAAGACTTCCGCCATCTAGTCATGTTCTTAAGAGTAAATTCGTATTGAATTGTCCAAATGATGCCATGTGTGAGGGTGTGATCATTTGAAGTCTTTATATGTGGTTTTCTTTTTTTTAATGATTGAAACATTTAATACAGGGAGTATTCAGTTTAAAACGTTGATGGTATCGCTCAATAATGGTACTTTTCGTTTCTCCTGATTATGTAGTTGCAGGTATCAGTGGGCTGCACAGGCGGCAGTCTTACTTCCAATCTGAATACAAGTCACACTTTGCACATCTCGTGCAAAGATTGTTTTGGCTTTATTTCCATTCCTCTAATGATATAACATTAATGCTGCCTACTTGAAGCAGTGAAAATGAATTGAGTCATGTTAAAATTGTTTTGGCCTCTACTACCTTGTTACTACCTACAGCAAGCCACCAAAATGTTCCTTACGCGATTTGAAATCTTGCTTGCGACCGGCCGTTGCATTCAGATATGGTGTTGTCCGAGGTATGGAGCAGCTTGACTCCTGAATCCAATGCTATTGGTGGTCAGAGTGCTTTGATGTAGTTTATTGGTCAAAAGAAGTGGACGTCAAAGCAACATTGTATTCCGAATAAGTCCTCCTTCCACATGATCCTCATTGAAACTGTCTAAATCATGGGGTCTTATCTGTGCTTTGTAATCCTCATCAAGAGACATTTGTTTTGTGGTTCAGACAGACATTGTCTTTTGCACAGACTCATCAGCGAGTCGTCGGTTTTTCTTCAGGTCATGTCTGGCTTTGAGAGATTTGGTGTATAGATTATTGCCTTATGCTTCTAAAACGGAACATTAACCCTGTGTTTCCGTCTTTGGCCAAGTACATTGGGGTCGATAGCCTTACCAGAGGCTTCAAAGCCAGTGGAGAAAATAGCAACTGAAGCAAGAATGAACATGTAGTTGCTTTAGCAGAAAATTTTTTGAAACAGCCGTAAGCAGTGAAGGTCAGACTGTGCTCATTTCACAGCATTGCAGCCCATCAGCTGAAGTCACTGATCCAGAAGTCCGTTGTCTTTTCATATTCTGCTTTTGTAGAGGTTTCTCCATATGTTTGACTTGGGAAGATAAGTGGCTGTCTCGAATGATCTTTGTGACCATGTGTAACAACTTCACTAAACGCATTGCAAACTAAGAGAACAAACAAAGGAAACTGTTGTCTGTTGTGACAGGTGACTGTGGATGGGGATGGTCATTTAAAGGCTATGCAACAATATGGAAAGTAAAAGCCAGGCTCTGGATTTTTTTTTTGCTTTTCTTTCAAATTGTGCAATATTTTGTAAGGCTCAGATCCATAAAGGATAATAGGTCTGAACGAGTGATTTATGGTTTTATGATCAGTTCCTCAATATTATTTTTTTTCTGTGCCTATTTGCCATTGTCAGAGGAAACAGATGATTGTAGTGTTTAGATGCATTGTGTAGGATGTCTAAACAGAAACTGAAAAAAATTATTCTCAGTTCTGTGATTGTCATTCAAATGTATTTAACTGTAATGTTTAAAAATTGCATAAAGAGATGAAATTTCCACTTAGAACCATTTGTTTTGTTTGTGGTTCTTTCATCTTTCAGTGGCCTTTCACACAAAGTTGTAACTGTTTCAAAGTCGGTCTAGAGTTGACAAAACCAAACAAATCTAACCTGGTTTAGATCAGATAAACACTCACTATAAACTTTGTCAACTCGGGGTTTGAGCCGGAGTTTATAATGAACTTTGGAGCATGTGCATTAAAGTGTGACGTGTGCCCATCACACGAAACAATGCAATCCTCCATTTGATTCACTTCTCATGAGAGGGTCAGTGCAGTTCATTTATAAAAAATATAGTGCATTTCAACACCTTTACAAGGTAGAAAAAATTTCTGCTGCCATGAAAGTTTGAGAAAGCAGGTAAAAGAAAATATTTGACTACATTAAAGGGTTAGTTCACCCAAAAATGAAAATTAGCCTGTGTTTTACTCACCCTCAAAGCATCCTAGGTGTATGTGACTTTCTTCTTTCAGACGAATCCAATCGGAGTTATATTAAAAATGGTCCTGACCCCTCCAAGCCTTTCAACGGGGGTAAGCGGGTGTTGGTTGTCAACAGTTCAGAAGACGTGAAATAAAGTGCGCGCGTCTGTAATAAAACGTCCCTCACACGGCTCGGGGGGTGAATAAAGGCCTCCTGTAGCGAATCCA